ACTCCAGTCTCCCAAGAAAGACCAACCACCCTACTTCTGGCAAAGGGATCTGCCCCAGAGTCATGATGACACCAGTGTGACCAGAGGAGAACTAGGAACTACAACCTACACAACTATAGAACAATAAACAGAAACCAGCAGACAGCGGAGCATAACAAATCCTCAGCAATCCTCATATTCCTTGCCCATGCATGCCCTCTATTCTGGTGAAGGAGGTCCTGATAGTCTCGTAGATGCTCAACTCGAAAAGGTGGGATCAAGCTAGCTTCCATGCTTAAGGCAAAGATTGACCTCTTGTTGCCCACATGTCTGAAGTGACATGCCAGGCCAAGTGTGCTGGGACAGTGGTACCTTAGATGGGAAGGCCTCAGTAATGCCACTGCCTGGCATCCCAGTGGTAAGGAGGTCGGGGGGAGGCATCAGAAGGACCTGGCTTAAGTGCTATTTCTACCACCAGTCAGCCTTGTGACTTTGTCACCTCCTTGAACCTCCGTTTCCTTATCTGAAAGAATGCAGTAGTAGTAAGGGAACCTACCTCCAAGGTCTAGCATGAGGATGTAAAGCGCTAAGCCCAGGGCTCATCATTTCCAGTGGTTCTCACCATGATGGCTCCAGTAGCCTTCCAGTAGTCCCCACTTCCTGTTCTGCCTGCTCTCCAGACTACACCCGGATAGTCCCCACACTGTAGCTTTATTTGTGAAGATCCTTCATCTGAAATGCCCCTTTAGCTCTCTCTTCATCCTTCAAGGCTTATCTGTATGTCATTTCCTACATGGCATTTTCTTTTTCTTTTTTTTTTTTTTTTTTGAGATGGAGTCTCACTCTATCGCCTAGGCTGGAGTGCAATGGCACAATCTCGGCTCACTGCAACCTCCACCTTCCAGGTTCAAGTGACTTTCGTACCTCAGCTTCCTGAGTAGCTGGGATTAAAGGCATGTGCCTCCACACCTGGCTAACTTTTGTATTTTTGGTAGACAAGGGGTTTCGCCATGTTGGTCAGGCTGGTCTCGAACTCCTGACCTCAGGTGATCCTCCCTTCTTGACCTTCCAAAGTGCTGGGATTACAGGCATGAGCCACCGTGCATGGCCACCAAAGTCATTTAATTCCTGGAGACCCTTAGCAGGAACACTTTCCAGCCCAGCCCTTTGTTAAGTCAGGAAGTGTTACTCTGCCTATTAGAATTCTGGGCCTGGTCCAGCTGCTGACTTTGAAAGTCTGCAGACCTATGAGGGCCGAGGGGACAGAGCCAGGGGCAGGCCTTGGACTGGGACCTCCTGCCTCCCTCAGTAACCTCTCTCTGGGTTTCAGCTCTCCCACTTGCTCTTCAGGAATGGTGGGGCTGGTGGGTGGTTTCTGCACTTCCTTCCATTTCTCAGATCTGAGACGTGGCACTGAGCTTTGCACACATAATGCTTCACGAAGGTCTGCTGAGTGGAAGGGAACAAATCCTGCTCTGAGCAAAGCAAGAAAGTCCAGGCTTATCCAAAATGATCACTCAGGGAGAGTTTAACTTGACTAATGTGTTTATCACTTTCCAAAGTGATTCCCAGTGGTATTCCTTATCCAGTGGGCTCATCCAGGAGCATTTTCAAATCTTCTGTCACCAAGCCACTGTCATTCAAGTTGGGTCTCCCAGCTAATGGAAGTACCCCTATACAGGAGCTTTGTGCGATAGTCTAAGTTTGGCCAGGCGCAGTGGTTCATGCCTGTAATCCAAGCACTTTGGGAGGTCTAGGTGGGAGGATCACTTGAGGCCAGGAGTTTGGGACCAGCCTGGGCAACATAGTGAGACCCTGTCTGTACAAAAAATAAAAAAAAAAAAAAAAACGAAAAATAAGCCTGGTGTGGTGGCACATGCCTGTACTCCCAGCTACTCGGGAAGCTGAAGTGGGAGGATTACTTGAGCCCAGGAGGTCAAAGCTGCAGTAAGCCAAGATCGCACCACTGCACTTCAACCTGGATGAGAGAGTGGAAACCCTATGTCAAAAAACAAACAAACAAAAACTCCCTGTAGCTAAAAAACATTCACCTTCCACATCATCCAACACGTTTATTTATTAATAGCTCCTTATATGTACCAGGCACTCTTGTAGCTGCTGGAAATTAGTGAACAAAACTGACTGAAATCCTCTGCTTTCATGAAGGCACGATCCTCAGCTCACTGCAACCTCCGCCTCCTGGGTTCAAGCGATTCTCCTGCCTCAGCCTCCCAAGTAGCTGGGATTACGGGTACCCACTCTCATGCCTATCTATCTATCTATCTATCTATCTATCTATCTATCTATTTATCTACACACACACACATATATATATAGGCTTGTTCTGAGAACCCAGTTAGCTTGACAGGAACCTAGCCCAAGGCCTAGCATATAAATAAATATATATTTATTTATTTTTGTATTTGTGTAGAGACAGGGTTTCGCCATGTTGGCCAGGCTGGTCTTGAACTCCTGACCTCAGGTGATCTGCCCACCTCAGCCTCCCAAAGTACTGGGATTACAGGTGTGAACCACTGCACCCAGCCAAAGCTTATATTTGAATAGTCTTGGGGTGGTGGAGAGGGGAGTAGGAAGAACAGGAATCAGATGAAACAGGAATCAGCTGTTGGAGTCTGGTGCCTCTGGCTCTGGCTGAAGGCAGGATGCCTCCTTTGGGCTTTACGGGGAGAATCTGGTTTGCACAGTATTTTCTCTGTGCAATCCTTTGACCTCTGGAAATGCTGTTCACAAACCTGGAAGGCTGTGTGTGTCCCTCCCTGCTTCAGTGAGGTTTCCTTTATCTGATGTGCATGATCTTTGCAGTCAAATGGCTCTGATTTGGAATCTCGGCTCTGCCTTGCAGAAGAATGTCATTTTGCCCCTTGGAGCTTCACCTTCCTCATCTGGAAACTGGGAATAATTGTAGTACCTACCTTATAGGCTTGTTCCGAGAACCCAGTTAGCTTGACAAGAACCTAGCCCAAGGCCTAGCATCTTGTGGGTGAATGGGAAGGGGGTTTTATTGAGAATGGTAATTGTTGTGTTGTACCTGGAGTTGACACATACACTTCAAGAGGCCGCCTGGTGCTGGGGAGTGAGCCTTGGAATAAGAATCTAGAGGTGGGAGTTCAGCCTCTATGATTCCTCAATTTGCTCTGAGACCCTGAGCAACATACATTCCCTTTCCGAGCATTGATCTGTTCGCTCTCTTCCCTCATATTCAGTTCATCCCCTAGGAGGAGGAAATTGGGTTGAGATAGATCCATATCCTCCAGGTGGCCTTGGAGCATCCCAAGCCAGCACGTGCCTGTTGAGAACCTGGTCGGGAGCAATGGTTGGTCACTGGGGTTCCAACCAAGCCCTCCACAGTTACTTCTGGGGGGCTGAGTGCACTCACTACACAAGAATGAAATGATCACCAGGAAGAATTCTTCCTCAGCTTTGTCATATTAGAAGGCTGGGGGGGCTTGATTCCCTGGAACCTGCCTTTTCAACCTGATTTCCCATACTTCTTCCCCTGAGCCAGATCCCATGAATTCTCTCTCTTCTCCAAACAGGCCCCTTGATTTTCCACCTTGGAATTCACGTTCTTCCTCTCTTCCTCCCTCCCTCCCTTCCTTTCTTCCTTTTGTTCTTCCTTTCTTCCATTTTTCTTCCTTCCTTTCTTTCCCCCCACACCTCCCTCCTCCTCTCCCCTTCTCGCTTCCACCCCCTTCCCTCCCTTCCCCTCCTCTTCCTCTCATTGCCCAGGCTAGAGTACAGTGGCATGATCACAGCTCACCACAGTCTTGAACTCTTGGCCTCAAGTGATCCTCCCACCTCAGCCTCTTGAGTAACTAGGACTATAGGCATGTGCCACCATGCCCCGATAATTTTTTTTACTGCTTGTAGAGACAGGGGTCTCACTGTGTTGCCCAGGCTGGTCTTGAACTCCTGGCCTCAAGTGATCCTCCTGCCTGGGCCTCCCAAAGTGCTGGGAATACAGGTGTGAGCCACAATGCCTGGCCCACCTCAGAACTTTTGATTCTACTGTTCACCCTGAAAGGAATATAGATTTCCCCTCATTTCTACCTGAGGAAATTCAGCTCAGACCCTTCAGGGCCTGCCATGACATGAACTCTGCCTTCCAAGACTAGACTCTGTCCATCTCCCATCAGACTAGGAGTTTCCATCAGGCAGGGGCTGGACACGTCAGAAAACAGAGGCCTGGATGGATAACCCTTTCTGTGTCAAAATTGCATTATGCAGAACCAGCCATATTCTCTGGAGCTCTCAGGTAATTTCCATGGTGGTCCCCCCAACCCCTCATTGCTTTAGAGATTCTGCATACTTCACTAAGGGATCATTGACTCCTCTGAAAGGTTTTCAGATAAAACCTGTCACTATCACTCTAAGCAGAGGTCGCTAATTGATAGTACTCCTGGGACCAATAGTGGGACATTGATTTGATCAAACACTATGCTTCTCATGGTATTGAATTTAAGCACTTTGGGTGTGGTATGGAAGCTGCAGTTAGCTGCCGCTCCACCACTGCCATCTCCTTAAACCCAAGTACACTGAATCTCCCTGGCCCCTGAAGAGATGCGAGTTTGTGATCACTGCAACGTGTTAGAACAGCAATTCCTTTAAAATAACTAACAAGTTTAAAAACTTTAAAATCATAACACGTGCACTATAGATAAAATTCCATTTAAAGGGTATTCAATAAAGGAAAATTCCCCTCCTGCACTCCAGGGCCACAGCAATAACCATTTCTGTGTATCCTTCCAGAAATGTTCTAAGAGCATAGACCCTTAAGATGCCCTTTATGGGCTTCATAAAATACGTGCAAAACTTTATTTATTTATTTTTGAGACAGAGTTTCGCTCTTGTCACTTAAAAAAAAAATTAGCCAAGTGTGGTGGCACACGCTTGTAGTCCCAGCTACTTGGGAGGCTGAGGTGGCAACCGTGACTGCACCACTGCACTCCAGTCTAGGTAACAGAGTGAGATCCTATCTCAAAAAAAAACAAAAAAAAAAC